CCTTTTTCCCCGCAAAAAAAAGCCGGGACACCTCAAAAGTTAAAAATTCGCAATTTATTTCAAATAAACCAAGGGCAAACCTCTGGCAAACCCTCTCCAGGGCGGGTTTTCCGTCATCCCTGTGCGTTGCCTGCAAAGAGCGAGGAAAGGGAATTCCCAGAACAAGCACCTCGTTTTAAAAATAAAGTTCTATATTTTTTTTTTCAATTTTTTTTTTTTTTTTTAACCCCACCCGCTTAAAAAGTTCTAAAATTTGAGAGTGCAAGACTATAGTGTACAGAAACCTCCTGCCGCCCCTGTCCCCAGCCCCTTGGAGCGGCAGTCATGCAGTTTACCACGTCAGTAGAAAAAAAAAAAAAAAAATTATTTTTTGTTAGAAGTTTTTTTTTGGGGGGGAAGCCTGAGGAGTGTTAGAGATGAAGCAGCCGATGCGCTAACACAAGCCAAGCTGAAATCAAAAGAGTTAGCGGATGTGAGGATGGAGAGGCGTCAGGTGGGCACAGGAGCTGGAAACGAGTGGAAAAAGGAATAAAAAAAGCAAACATTCCACACCTGTAGCAGTAACGCACCAAAGGGAATCTCGTACCTCAGGATTAACAGCTCCTGAGCCATTTGCTAGTCCCCTACGTTCGTGTAACCTTGCTGGCTCGATCTGGGCCGCCCAACTATTTAGGGAGGAAAAAACTGGCCTTGTTTTTTGGTGTTGGGAGCTCCCGTTTCCTCCCCATCACCTGCTCCTCGAGCAGCATCGGTCACTCCACACAAAGAGCCAACGGTCCCTGTGCTCCACAGGTTTCCTCTTGGAGCCTACGACTTTCTGTAGGACATTGATGACTTTTCTGTAGGACACCAATGTCACCTGCCTGGGCTGCACAAGCAGGTCAGTCCTGCTGTTTTCTGAGAGTACAGAAATGGGACCCGTGAGTGCAAACCTTTCACCACCAGCAGAAAGGGTGGCTCTGGTTTCAGAAACCGTAAGGGAATTGGGGATTGCACCATGCAATACGTCTCGCCGTTCCTCAGCCACGCAGCTCAGCACGTTTGGCCACGGCTGTAGGGTCTGGCTCGCCTACAAACAGGGATTCATAGCAAAGCATGTTGTGGGGGAGAGGGAGGGAGGGAAGGATGGGGGCGGGGAAGGACAGCGAGACAAAACCCCATTCTCATCTAGCTCGAAGCTGGACAACGATGTGACAGAAGCGAGAGCTCTGCAGGACTAGGGAAACTCCACATACCTGTTCTGCAAAGAGATTAGGTGTTATGCTAGTTTAGACAACAAGAGCACCAGCTTTTATCCTAATTAGTACTTTGCACCTTATATCTTCAAAGAACAGTTTAAACACTGGGTCTATGCACTGCTGGGTCCCAGCGAGCCTCCCCCTGCGCCACCCCTTCCCCTGGGCCCAGCGTGCCCAGACTTCAACAGGCCTTTGGGGAGGGGACAAGAAGGAAGAGACAACCTCTAGAATATACCACGAGGGAGGCACAAAGAGGCTGCTGCTGGAGCAGAGGAGGAAAGGAACTCTGTAGACAGCGGTTGGAGCAAAGATGTATCCACCCCTGTGGCTCCAGCCTAGAGGGGAGCCAGAAGAGGACAGGGCAGGGACACAAGGAGCCACCGCTCCCAGAAACCAGGGACTCCCTCCCTGCCCCTGTCCCACAGCCCCTGGCTCCAGCCACCTCCCTGCAACCCTGCTTGACCCTCAGCCTGCTGTAACCCCCACTCTGCACCAGCAGCCTCTTGCAGGTACATTTCCCCATTCCCTGGGGATACATCCCACACCAGGGAAGGGAGGGAGGGAGGGAAAAAGCCTTTCAGTTTGAAAATTTCCAAGCACGGCCACAGGATCAGCTCCTGCGACAGCTATTCCTCTTTTAAACTCATTCACTTCTCTTGTTAAAATCCATCTGCCCAATTACACGTGCTGTAAATACTTGGTTCACACATCTCAGGTACATGAAAAAGGCTCCAACAGCAGAGTTAGCTTATTCTGACATGCAGCACTTTTCCCTCCCACCCTCCAATTTAATCTTTGTCAAGTGACATTATATAGAGCAACAGAGTACACAGGGATGCATCAAAGGCAACACTTCCACATACAGCATGGAAGAGAATCCCATGAGTTCCCCGCAGAGGTGAAGATCTCCTCAAATCAGAGGCTCCAGCTCCACCTTACTGGCTGCAAACAGCGTGTTCCTGCTGCAGGTGACATACGTGCCTGTGGAACCTCAACACGTGGCCTGCTCCCTGCAGCAAACAGGGCAAGCATCAGCCTTTAAGTAACCTTTTTCATGTTAACCCCTACTAAGATGAACTAGGTTTTCATATTTTTATTTTAGTGTATATTTTACATTAGAAAAAAGAATGTTAATAAAAAAGCTCCACATGCTCCTAACAATCAATTTTCTGATAAGTCCCCACCAGTATCAATACTAATATACAAATAAATTAATTTTGCTAGTTAATTTTCTGCCTGGCTTGGTGCAGGCCCTGCACAAGCAGTGCACCTGTATTCAAGTGCTCGTCCACATTGCCGACGTGTGCCAGGGAGTGTGTTGTACATAATCTTGCCTCCTCATAATGTAGCGGTGTTCAGTCTCACCTTGATGAATAGGATCAATTTTTCTCAGCCATGTTACCCAGCAGGCACAAATCATCTTTACCAGGCAGCATGGCACTGTTAGAACATGGATCGTTTCACTCTGCAAAAGCCCCAAGCCTTGATTAACAACTGTATGCTACTATTCCCTCATCACTCACTTTGGCAATACAACACCCTCCCCACAAAAACAAGTAAAGCAAAAATCTACATGGAAGACCTAAAATTCATCAAACGCAGAATCTGACCTGACCCAAGGTGTAGCCCCCAGTATTAACTCGGTCTCTCCCCTGCAATTCCTCTGGTTGTTTGCTGTTGTTTGCGCAGCAGGATTTTGCACAGCTGATTTACAAGAAAAGAGATGTCACATGTAATCATCCTAAAGCACGGCCACTGCTGGTACCGTGGGGTCAGACACAGCAGCAGCTGCTTCTAACACCAGCCACTCTCCTCCTGCAACGCCAATGCTACAGCGCCTGCTTAAAGGAGCATCGGGAAATCTGAGATGTTTTGTAACCTCCTTCAGTGCCTAGGAGGATTTTTGGGTCAGAGGAAGGGAGAGGGAGAAGGGGAAAAGCCCATTAAATTTACAAGCAGATTAAGGAAAAACACTCCACTGCCAATTTATTTTTAAAAAGGGTTGTGTGTTATTCTAAGGTTTGTCTGTATAATTGTACAACCGTTGAAAATTACATAAATTGTAATGATCTAATACTATTAACAGCCATTCAGAGAAAAACTCCCTCCCCTTCTGAAACCATCCAGGGCAGGAGGGAAATGTCCCAGGAAATATGCCAATCTGAACTCTGGCCTCTAGCCTGGCAGAAACAGAAACAGAAAGATAAGAGAACAAACTGGACTAAGATGTGGTGTTTGCATGTGTCTGACTTGCAAGGGGAGGGGTGGCTTTGTCCTTGGCCGTGTTCTCCCAGAGGCAGTGCCTGCTTATCCCGGTGAAGCTGCCATCACTTCACTCGCTGCTCTCACCCCTGCACTTCGTCACTTCCTCCTGTCTTATGTGTCGTGGAAGTCTTTCAGCAGGGTCCTCCGTCTCTGCTCTGCTATGTGCATCTGATTCTCTAAGTCCTGGTAAAACAGAAAGTACAATCTGTCAGCATTTGTCAGAACTCCGCAGAGAGGAGCTCATTTTCTTTAGGGAGAGACTCAGCCCCAGTCTGAGAAGCACCAACCTTCACGCTTCACATATGCTCTGGATCACAAGATCACAGATCTTTTTCCTTTTGCTCCCTCTGCAGTTGCCTGGCTCCTGCTCTGACGAAAAAGCTACACACTTAAGGAATCTGCTCTTCACCAGAGGGCTACAGGCATTCTCCTACAGAGCTTTGTTGGTGCTGTTTCAGTCTGGAGGACTCATTGCAGCCCGCCCTCCCCTCCCCTCCTCTTCCCTCCCATAAGGCAGTGAACCACTTAAACATCCACTGGCTAAAGGGGAGATCCTGGATCTAGCTTCTCAGCACTCTCACTCACTGCCTTAGAGCTCCTGCAGAAGTGTTAAGCCCAACAATCTGGCCACCAGGCTCAAGCAAGCAGAACACTCACCCCTCTGTCATAGCTGTCTGCTCGTTCCACCTTCCACGAGAGATTTTCAATTTCAGCTTCCAGCTGGGCCTGCTGGTACTCAAACTGTAAAGGGTAAAATTAGAGACAGCAACAAGAAACTAGTTTAGTGGAGCAGTTTCATACACACGCACTACGCTTGAGGAGCAGACAAACGTATTCTGCTGACAGCTGTGCTGGCAGAGCAGCTTTGTGCTTCCTCCTTCAGCTACACAGCATCTCCCCTTCCAGGAGTTTCTTGCGTAAGCGCTCCCCAACCTGCACCGCTCAAAATTAACCCAGTCAGCCTAAAAACACTGCAAGTGACAAATACCTCCCTAACTCAGCTCATTTTGCCATAAACGGGTCAGGAAATGCTCTCGTGAGCAGCTCTGCAGGCAGAGCAGAGGGACTGTTAACGACTGCTGGGAGCAGTAACTTGTTCCACTGGCACAGTGGGACCCAGAAAAGAACATCTGTCCACAGCCTCAGAGAACACATACGATGCTACGGGGAGACACTGGACAACAGGTTTTACTGGACAACTAAGTCAAAGAAACAACCTCTTCAGTGAATCCAGGGCTATTTTTGGACATGTCCAGTCCGTGGGATGCTCCAAGCCAGCAAGGAACTTAGAGCAGGAATAAAAAGCAAAGCTACATCCTGATTCAGGGCTGGAAAAGCTATTCTCCAGCAGCTCTTCACATGAAATATGGCCCACAGCACTGTGATAAGTCTTACCAAGGAACAAATGCACACTTCCAGCATCAAAACATTCTGGATAAATTGCTTGTTAGTGAAGTGCTGCCCTGGGAAAACAATGTAATGTATCAGAGGACTGAGCTGCTGGTCAACTTGAAGTGAAGAGGAAAGGTGCAAAACTACCTGTTATTTGTCCTGTCCTTACCTCTAACTCAGGACTAATATTCAAGCCCCTGCCAAGCTCTGGAATTCAGCCCAGCATGCTGCCAGCTACACCCCAAAAAGCTATCAGCCAAAAAAAAAAGAGCAAAAACATCTTACCAGCTTCTTTCTGGGACCAGACTCCATGTAGTAGGCATATGGATATGTGTACTGCAGGGTGTAACGACACTGTCGGGGAGTGGGAGGAAGAGAGAGAAAAGAAGGACAAGAGTCTCAGACCTGGAAGTCAGCACAGTCACATTTAGGTGAGCACCTCAGGCTCAAAAGCTACCTTCAGACAAGGAGAACAGGACACTTCATGGGAGAACTTCCTACACCTTCCTTGGAAGAACTTATGCAGTTATACTTTAACTTAACAGAGGTCACTTCCAGATGATTTTTGGCTACTTCATGTCCTAAACCAGAGGTGCTGCCCCACATACTCACAACCCTGAAATCCCCTTCCTCACTTGGTGTTGTGAATTTAGTATTCTGGTGTGTGTTCTCTTCTCTGTGCCAAACAAGCCACAATTACTCACCTTTGCAAGTAGTTTTGCAGCATTTTGTAGGTATTGCCAGTCTATCCACGTTCCCAAATTGTTCATAACTCTTTCTTGGATTTTCTCCTGGATCCGTTGGTACGTTTGTGCCTCCAGCTGCAAGCTTTTATTGTGATTCTCCCACTGCAAAGGGTCGGGGTGGGGAAACGGGGAAAGAAAAACCAGCATGAGACCAGAATATTGCTGCTGTAAAAGCACAAGCTCTAGCAAGCAGAAATTGAAGTGGGGCAGGAGTCCAGCAAGGCAAGACATGCTGTGGGAAAGAACAGCAAGGCAGCACCTCCAGTAGCAAGTGGCGGAGGTCGAATACAACAGACTGAGAGCAGCAACGAGCAAACCCAGCTCTTCAGAGCAGGAATGCCCTCTGGTTGCACAACTACCTTGTGTCTAATAAGATGGAAAGTAACGGTGATTCCCCTACTTAAAGGATTTCTATCGAAAGGTCAAGAGTTTAAATTAACATTTAACATGGGCTCAGTGAACTCCAAAATCCATGTGCACATCGTAAACATGGCCATTTCCCAAAGCCTGTTGGTCTGGAGAGCCAGGAACGAACACATTTATTTTACCACAGGAATTGGCTCATGGTGTGAAAAATAAACTCATTTTAATGGGGAAACAAGTGAGATGCAGCAGCATTGAACCTCTACCATGTTCTCTTCTAGAGATACTGGTCTAGGATTGCACTGTATGGCCAGGTGCATCGAGCCTGCTGTGTGGACAGAGGTGCTCTGACTGCAACTTTTAAGAAGGTGATTACATGAAAATTTAGGAAAGCTTTGGCACAGTCAATGGAGTACTGAACATGGCAGAACTTATTTACTATTTGTCTCTATAAAGACATACTGCAAGGAACTGGAGTTCCCCAATCCTGGAAGGAAATGCTTGGAGCAATATCCACGTAGTGCAGCAGCACTCAGCCGACAGGAAAACAATACAGTGGCACACAAGTACACTGATTTTCTCTAGCACAAGGAAATACAGGAGCGAGCATGATTTGCTTTGGGTAGGACATTACTGGTTTGGATGGGACTCTCAAGGCAGGATTTGGAATAAAAAACAACAAGGCCTGAAAATTCTGCACAGATTCTCTTTGGGTAGTTTCTTGCATGGAGTTTGCTGGCAATGACCTTTGCACCAGGCAGGGAGCATTAAAAGGCTACAGCAGCTCTGGCCAAGGAGATGTCTCCTACCCTCTCAAAATAGAACAAGTACTTCTTAAGGGCCTCCCTGGCCTGTGCTTGCTGACTCTGGTTTACAATATCAGGATTCTCTTTGTACCGACTGCATTCGTAGTACTCGCTGCCGTGAGTCTTCCAGTCTCCCAGACACATCCAGCAGAAATCTGCAGAAAACAGTGAAAAAACCCACTGTGATGCACGGAAAAAAACTTCCAAGAAAGAAAACCTTCAGGAGACACAGCCCATCTGTTTTCAGATACTTCTGCTAAGCCAAGAAACACATATATTTTGTATCATCTTGCATAACAGAACACAACAGCGAGCCAAAAATACCAGCCTGTCTTGAAGATTTTAATTGTACAGCCTCCCGTGCAACTGTGGAAAGTAAATCCTGCAGTGCTGCATCCTGTACACTAAGAGCAAGGGGCAGAGCTGTGTATGTGCTCTGCACAGGCCACCACTCTAGATTAAAGAAGGCGAAGGCTGAAATCTTATTTGTGAGCAACATCCTCCCCACCACTGGCACACTGCCCCATGCAGACCTCTAGCCGAATGAAACAGGAACAGGCAAATCCAAAAGTGAAGGAACTCATACAAAAGAAAGTCTAGCCTCAGTTCTCTTCAGAGGGGAACCACCCAGGTAACCCCAGGTATCAGTGGTTTATGACACTACAAGTTAGGAGCCACCGAATTGGGAATAAAGTGGAGGAAAGAGAGCAATAGCAAAACCCGTGTGACAGTTTCCTGATTTCAGGGCGAGGCTGTGAGTGTTCTGCTGGGAAGGAAAAAAGATGGAGATTAAATTGCTACAACAGGAATCACTTCTGCGCAACGCATAATAAGAGACTGAAATTTGTATTTCCAGAGTTCACCAGCCTTCTTGAGTGCTAGTCACCATGGTACCGTGGCACTTGCCTGCTCACCCTTGTCACAGAGCTCCATCAAATCACGTCCAGTGCTGCTGAGGACCCCAAAGCAAAGGAAATGAGAGAGGACAGTAATCTTTAATCATCTTCCAAATTAAGTTCTGATGTTATAATATTTCCTGCCGGCACACTTAACTCAGAAGGCTGAATACAAACTATCTCACTCCAAGGCAACAGAAATTATTTCTGCCATGAAAAGATAAGTGCAAGAACAGGCTGTCATTTTGTAGGACCGCACAATGGGCCAAAGACACTCAGGCTGCTAATTGCACAGGGGTGGACTGAGAAGTCCAACAGATAATGTTACGCAGAACAATTCACAGCTCCTGCAGTTTCATCTGGGTCAAAGCTCATTATTTCCATCACTAAGCAGAAGGACTTAAGCTGATCTAAGTAAATGGCTCAGTTCTGCCAGTATTTTCAGCTGATGACAAATACAATTACATGGAAAGCATTTACTACTCTCCTCTGAGATGGATTCCACTGTTAATACTGTGACAGAGATGGAGATTTCTCTATACAATGGACATCTCAGGGAAAGGGAGCCAAACCAGCACTGAATCAGAACCCAGCTGAGATCACAGCCAGTGAAAAAAAATAAAAACAAAGCTATCACACACAAGCCTGTAATTAATATCCTGTTCACCTTTTACCAGGGGGAAAAATATTTCAGTCAATATTCACAATTTGTCTTCATATCACAAAAACAGCAAGAAAAGAACATCATCACTAACACACAGCAGAGAAAACTGCTTCCAAATCCTACTTACCATGCTTGCATTTGGAGCATTGCTGAAAAAGAAGAGACAGGAGGCACTGGTTAGTGGAAAGTGGGGGAAATTTTTTTTCTGCTTATAACAAGGAAGATCTGATGTTCAGGGAATTGCTCACCATGTGATTGCAGCCTCCATTCTTTTCAATACAGATATTGCACTTGGGACACTGGGGAAACAGAAGCATTTGTTAGATCCAACTCTGTCTCTAGCAGCCTTCAGGAGAATGACAACACTTGCATGATTATTCCCCTCCTACTTTTTTAAAAATATGCATACATGTACATGAGAACATATACATATACACCGTGTTTCCCACCAATTCCTGACAGCTCCATTTAAAAAGGAGGCAGAAAGGCAAAGCCAGGGAAGTTACACTGCAGCACTGGACCACTTGCTCCAGAAAACAAGTTTACTGTAATTGCCCCCTTCGCTCCATCTGCAGTCCGCTGATGCCCCGCAGCCTTAAGTTCAGTTACACTTTTTGGGTTGGATAGGTACAAAGAAGGAATTGAGCTTTGCTGCTTTTTATACAATTTAATGGCAGGCAAAATGTATGCCAGTGCAATGCACAATATAATAGAACCTTACTTCTACAAGAGAGCACAGCAGAAACAATGCCACCACATGTTGACACCTTCTCCAGAGAAAGAGGGGAGCTTAAGATCTCTCGTCTAACTACCCACTTTCCTAACACAACCGAGGCTTGGGCTAATTAGCACTGTCACAGTTGTCATTAGCTATGGTAGAACAAACACCAGCTAAGAACTGTTTTGAAGTCAGGCTACAAAATCCCCCAAAGACATCAAAACTTCCCATCTGCAGACAGCTAATCTAGAGGACAAAGGTAGCATATCTATAACTTATAAAGATATTCCTATAAGTGGACTAGAGTGCACAAGATGTAATACTATTTATTTTTTTTGGCTCTAAAGCTACTAGAAGTACTTCAATGTCTCATTTACAGACTTCCATCTACCCTGTTTTGTTGTCCTTGCCAAATTAAGACTTTAACCTTAACACAGTTGTTCAGGTTTAAACCCCAGAAGTGCCTTATTTGCTACTGACTCTGCACTTACGACACTCTCTCCTCCCTTTTTAAATGTATCTTCACTGATCATTTCAAAGGAGCCACAATCCTTTTGCCTACGGGAAAGCAGCACGCCTGGCTGCCAAAGTCACTCACACCAGGTCTGGAATAAGGTCCTTGCTGCAGGAGGGCAGCTGGACTTCCCACACAAAGCATTCCCATGGCATTCAGTCGTGTAATATCACAGTCTCCAGGGAGCTGTGAGAACCTGCAGTCTGTGAAAAAGCAGCATACAATGCTACGTATGTATAGAATTGTATCTCACTTCCCAGGCAGGATTAGAGGACAAGAAAAAACATGCAAGTGCTTGTCCTTACATCTTTAGTGTGAGCACTGATGTAGTTGGCTGTTTCGGAGTCATCTGCACACTTGGTGAGCCATTTCCGAATGGTAGCACAGTCTGTGGGTGCGTGGTACATCTGCCGACACTTAAAGCTTAACAGGGAAAAAAAAAAAAGAAAATAAGATGTATCGATTTCCAAGGAAGTGACTCAAGAATTGAGGTTTTCCCGATGACCAAAATCAAAGGGGCGCAAATGCACTTGTGTATTACTAGAGTGCAAAGACCAAGGCTGAACTTCAATAAACCCCCACCCTCTCGTGCAGAAACCAGAGTCAGGATGAAATAGAACCAAGGCCTTCTGTGACAAATCCCGTGTCTGAGGGCTGACACATCCCTCCCTAGACCTACCCATGACTGCAGAGGCCGGGGGGATACCAGCAGCTTTACAAGTAGCCTGACTGCAGTGGTAGATACCAGGCACCTGCATTAGTACAACCATACCAGCCCCAGGTGAGGAAGGGCCATTTGCATGCAGATACAGGGAATCTGGGTCTCTAAAACAGTTGTGTTGTGCTCAACAGATATCCTCAACATGATTGAGGAGTGATACTGGAGACCCAGGAGCAGGAGACAGTTCAGCAGCCCGGCAAGCTGTCTTTTTTTTCTGCTCCCATACACACTTATAGCTTTCCTGTTCAGCAGAAAGTTATTCTCTCATGAGCCTCAAAACACACCAGATGCTCTGGGAGTCAAATACGTGTAATAAACTTAAAAACTCAATACCAGCAGACAGTGGTGAGGCCTCCACATCCATTATGAGAATCTCTACCAGTCACTATGTCTGTACCAAAATTTGTAACCTCGCCAAAATACGAGAACAGAAGATTTGTAACCCCTTCATTACTTAAGCTCTGCATTCCCTGGTTGTCAGAACATCCAACTCCCAAGGAGTGCAGAGAGCGAGGGGAGGGCTGACCACCTGCAGAAGTCAGACCCCAAGTGTCCAATTACTCAAGCTAACTCAAGTTACAAATGACTCTAGCAAAGCATTTGAGATGCTTCTACACACTGAACCCGCTGGCAAGCAAATGGAGTAGCTCTGAGGACAGCACACACTTTCCCCATGATCTTTAACCTTCTCTGTTTCTTACCAGAAGACCTCATTGCAACGATTGCACTGCACTCGCCGGGCTTTTGGCTCCTGTACCTGTATGACCATAGGACAATCTGCACCAGGACACAGCTGCAGCTGGTAATGGCTCTGTGAACATACCAAGGTGGTAAGATCAGCAGTGGGCACAGAAGAGCATTACCTTTATCTCTTCAAGTTTAACCACTCCTATCCTCAAAAATACACTAGTCAGTATTTCTTTTTGAAAAAGACAGTGAAAATTGCCACCAGATTTAGCCAACAGAGCACACAAACCTTTTTCACATTAGGAAAGGGAGTGTTAGTGACTTACAGCTTCTCTAGAACATAGAATTCACATGGAGGGTTACAGACCAAGTAAGTGCAGCAACAGAACCATAAGACCCCACCAAGACTGTTTTACTCCCTTTGAGCTCTTTCCCCATACTTTCCTTGTGTTCCAGAACATACTCAGCTGCTCTCCTGTGGTGGCTGTTCCCTCCCAAAGCGTGTCTTATTGAAGAGAGGTGACACCACTCTTTTGTGGTGCTTTGGTGCTTCTTGAGTATTCCCAGTCTGTTTGCAGTTACCAGAATACTTCCTGCACATTTAACCCTTACAATTTCTACTTTAATTTCCCAAAACCTCACATAAAATGTTATTAAGCAAGCCAGCTCAGTTGGGCTACGCTGAGTGACTTTTTTTTCAGAGCCTAAAATATCTATGCAAGAGCAAAAAGGACTTTAAAACTCAGATCGAAGTTTGAAGTTCTCAGCTGCAACACTGAGAATTCAGCTTCAGGACAAGAGCCAAGCACCAGCCAAGGAGTTACTGGTTGACCTTACAACAGAATTTACTTTGGCAACCTGCTAGAGCGTTTTGTCAGTGAGGCCGTCCTACAGGAACAGCCACATGATGTTTATGAGGGACAATTTTGCTGCAATTACTGCGTTTCTAATCAAAGATGCAAGACACTTCAAAAAAAAAATGTCCACAGGTGTATCCACCCAGAATATTTTAAAATTGAGAAAAACAATACCTCCACATAGTCCCTGAAGAGGTAGCGCCTGTATTTGTCTTTCAGCTCTTCACTAGGCAGCAATGGAAACACAAAGTCTTCTGGTGTCCGAAGCAGGCAGTCCTGAGCCATGCAGGAAACCCCTGAGAAGAAAAAGCAACGTTTTAGCACAGTGCAACTTACACTAAGGAGCCAACGCACAGAGAGCATTCAGCACAGTTTCCTAGGTGCCATCTGTTGTTGTGGCAAGAGGGACACAACTGTGAAACAAATCTATCAGGGCTGCTGAAAAGCTCAAGCCCAACTGTCTTCACCAAAAGACGACAGGACACATGTGCATCCCGGAGCAGTAAGTGCCTCGACCAGTATTTGCAAGGTCAGGTATTTAAAGTAGAAAATTGTATGTTACTGCCATGCCAGCATGAAGGACAGGCTTGGGAAAGCCCAGAGCAACTCTGGCAACTACTGGCTTCTACCCAACACAAAGGGAGCAGATGTTTGCATCCACAGGCACTCCGGGGGCAGTGCAACAACACATAATGAGAGACGCAAACTCAAAATGCAGCAGATTTGCAGCTTTTAACTTGTTACAGTCAGGCTCTTTAGATCAGAGAGGGAGAAAAATACCAAAAGGATCTATGGACCTGCACGTTTTCTTAGGCAGGGGTAGCACTGTCCTGGTGGTATACCAATGCTAACCAGGGATTCAGGTAAGACCACTAGTTCATATTAAGTTTGGCACAAGTACGTATTCCATGCTGCATTACTGAGCATGGAATCCTTACTGAGATTTTTTAGGCCAATTCAGCCAGTCATCATCAGAATGGCCAATGTGGCAAATACAGACGTGGTACCACATCCACCTTGAACTCACCAACTCCTACACCATCCTTGACGAGCACTGTACAGTGCTGCTCCCAACAGCTGCGACAGAACTGGTGCTGACAGGCCAGAGAGAGCAAGTTCTCCTTCCGGACAAACTGCATGCACACTGCGCAGTGATGGGAGGAATGTACCATTGCCTGGGAGAGAGACAAGTCAGCGTTACAGTGACAGCATCCCAGCTCTCCCCGAGTACTCTCACCTCACCCACAGGCACCTGCATGGCCTTCATGGTGACAATGGTCCCAGCTGAGCTCCAGCCCAGAACAGGTTCACAAGCAGCTGGTGTGTTGGGGTGCTGCCCTGCTCTGACAGTCAGTCCTTCACAAGAACCTCTTTAATCTCACGGAGCACAACAGATTGATGGTCACTGAACAGCTCCTGACTATAATCTAGTGCTACCCAGAACTCATCTTTACCCTTCTGGTTCTTACTCTCACCTTGTTTGAAAAATACAAAAACACATCATTGTGTTAGTCCTTCCCTGAATTGACTGATATTCTTTGTTAGCTGGGTCAGCCTCTACCACTGTTCCGCAGGCACTGAAGGGCAGCTGTAGCTGGAAGCAGGTTTAGCAGTGCCCTTTTACTGGACAATGATTTTGGGTAAGAGGAGAGGCAACTGAAGGTGCAGCGTGTAGAGTGTCTATACAGAGAGGAAAGGGAGTTCTCAGACCATCCTCTCACATCTCTGATCTTCTGCCTATGCTACATTTGGCAAAGCAGGCGTCATCCCTTCAGCTGAAAAGGATTAGAGGGTTTGTTTCAAGTCAGGCATAATTCTGCTGTTGCTTCACCAAACCACTGGGAAGCAGTCTGGATCTCCCCTTGGGGAGCGCAGAACTAATCCCCAGACAACAGCTCTAGCCTCCAACACACCTCAGCTCACCCCTGGGACCTGAAGAACTAGGTCTAGCACACCATCACCAGAAGGTCTACAAAGCTGTCACAGCAGGAGCTTACTTTCCTATTTCTCCTTTCACAGAGAAGTCATATAATCACTTTTTATCTACTTAAAGCTTTGGTACCCTTCGAGAAGTCTGTGGGAGACAGCAATCAGTCTCCATGCCTGGCTCTGGGGAGCAGCAGCAGGAGGATACGCAGCCACATGACCAACAGGGCTTGCTTTACAGCATGGCCACACGGAAAAGGAAATAATGCCACCTTGTTCTAAGTGGCCTCACTTATGGACCAGAACAAGATCCACCGCGTCTGCTGCTGTGTTGATCCCCTACAGCCATTGCTCAACTTGAACAGCCAGCGCATTGCCTCCAACCTTCACAAGCTGTCCCTCTGAGCTCACCACTGCAGATTCTCTCTGTAGGGTCACTTGCTCTACAGACACTCAGTGGGAGAATCTGCCCCCAAAAAATCATCCTTCTGCGCAAGGAGTCAAAGCACGGAGCAACCTGCCCTAGCACATACAAAAAAACTGTTACAAACTGCCTACCAAACCAGGTTTGTCAAGTCTTACACTAACCTTTTAACTGTAGTATCTTTCTTCCCAAAATGAACTAACCATTGCAGTAGAGAGTACTTAAGTGACAACCAGCACAAGATTCGGACAAATCTCAAAATACATGGACTAATTCGCAGGTATGTCAAACGACAAAGATTTTTTTCTAGACTCTAAGCAGATAATTTATTCTGAGTCCATGAAGCTTACTCCTGTCAGCTGTTTTAGCATTTTCACTCTCTGCTAGTTACAAGTCAGCTCAGATGCCAAATCAGGCTTTTAAAATCTCCCTTCCCCCCCAAGCCAAAGAGTGTTTCTCAGATGTAATACTTTATCACTCAAAATCTGACACATGGCAATGTGTTCCTGGGTAACTGTGGATTATACCAAGCCACCCACTGTGAATGAAACCTGTAAACATGCAACAGGAAGTTTCTATTTAAAGGGGGAAAAAAGAAGTATCTAAAGATCTGTGCAGCCCTGGCTGCAAAATACAGGCTGTTGGTTCAAATATCACTACTGACTGGCTCAGCAGCAACACCACTGGGAGATTTGGCTTAAGCATCCCTGAGCAGAGCAGTGTAGCCGAAGTCATCTTAGGAAAAATAAATTTTAAAAAATCTCTGTTCCAGCTACAGACAAGCTCTGTTCGCTCTGTGCAGCCAGAGCGTCCCTGGAGTGTCTTTTACAGAGAACAGAATTGGAAGAGGTAGCCAAGCCCATGCTCTCTGCTCCTTCCGTTGTGTACCATCGCTCATGCCAAAAAAAATGAGCTCAATTTTCTTGAGGCAAGCAATTCTTGAACGCTACCTGCAAGACAATAGCAAAGCTGCTCTTTAAATGTTAGACACCCCTTGAATGCATTCTCATTCAAAAAGTAAACCCAGGATCGAGTTAGGGCATTGGACCCGAGTCTGCAAAGGGTTAATACGGGACAGACTATGCCATTAGTAATGCAATCCTCTGATGAGGTGGGTCAGAGGTGTCTGCCAAGGGAACAGACCAAAATAGTTAGCATACTTACATGTTTGGATGAGGTGGGCTGAACTCGTGCTTCTACTAGCAATTGGGCAGCATTAGACTTGTGCCTGAAAGGGCAATGGAAGAATGATCAAATCAATTTCTGAATACGTTTTGCTTTGTTAAATTGATCCTTCTCACCCGAATAAATAAGAAGGTCTGTGCAAATGGCAGGGTAGGTTTCAACAAGGAAAGTGGCAATGTGTCCTGTGTGAGGCTCCTTCACATAGTGAGCTGAACTCTCATCAACAAAACGTTATGAGAGTTTCTTCAAAATCAGAGACAGGAACAACACTTCTTCCCCTAATGGATTAACATTTCCTTCATGCTCCTTGATGAATATTTTTCTACAACTCTCTCCCTCCCCCCAGCAAATTACTTTTGAAGCTAAGGTCTTCTACCCACACTTCCAGAGCAGTCCTAAGGCACTGCCCATAATAACACACTCCAGTGAACAGCCTGTCTGTCTCCTACTCCTTTGTAAAATCAAGCTATGCTGGCTAGGTCTCACTTTGACTCCAGTCTATTATCTGGTTAAGTATTTACTCTGTGACAGATTATCACCTCTTAGGCATATGAAGCTGTCTATCAGTAGCCTTAGAATTAAATGTTTTGCTGTTTGTGATTTCCATTGCAGAGGAATGTTTGTAGCTCCAGTAACAAAATCACCACTGAATTCAGAAATAGCAGCATCACTGTTGTGACTGTGCTGTAAATCCTCCCTTCCCATTAGCACTTTTAAGTCATATTAGAGATCTTTCATTTGATAATATCAATTTGCACCAAGACAGAGGGTCAAATCAACTGGACAGCAACTTGCAAAGTCACAGCTTCAGAAGTGAATCCTTCCCCAAACTTCCTCTTGTTTAAACCTCACCAGTTGACCTGCAAAATCACCCTGAGCTGCCATGCAGGAATCCCACCCTCCACATTCCCCAGAGAAATGCTTTCAGAGGATGCATGGTAACCAACCAGCCAGTTACCATCCATACATGAGATGCATTTCCCATACGTTCTCTGGATGAAGTTGCTGGCTACAGGGCCAAAAATGGCATGGCAGAATGAGTCAGACTGATACGCTCTCTATTTTCAGACAATGTTGAGTTCTGAGCCAGTATTTTCTGGAGGGGCTGCCAGACAGCGGTGCCTCCTGACACACTTCCCGTACACGCTTGGGCAGAGTCCGAACCCTCCTTTACAAAGCAGTTGGAGGACTTTGTTTCACTGACACTGACAAAGCAACAAAGGGGCTGCACTTGTCAGTTCTCTCACCCCATCTTCTCTTCCTCTCCAAACATCAGTAAGCTTGGAAAAAAACCATCACTTATGTTCAGAAGGAGCAAAAACTTCAATATGAATGTAATCCTAAAGAATATATCAGCATAGGTTCAGTGCTCCTTTATGATTTATGGTTCATATGTTCAAAAACAGAACATACGTTATCTTTATATTTGTTATAACAAATAAATATAGATGCAGCCCTCTCAATCTGTTATCTCAAAGTTTAAGCTAAATTCATCTACAGGGTTCCCAGCATGACAATAATTCCTCAGACTGAAAGACATTTGCCACCACCACCCTCTCCCTGTTTATAAATTTCTTACAGGCAATGCAGCCTCAACAAAACAGTGTTTTTCGTCTACTCCCTGGCATGGACTGTACAGCCTGCTTTCAGGTTCAAAGATGCTTGTCAAAAAGACACTGACAGACCACCCTAAGCATTCTTGCAAAGCAAGGGGGAAAAGCACTGAGCACAGAAGAGATAGGACTATTTTACACTTACCTTTCCAAAATCTCTGAGATTTGCCAGTGGAAACTAACTAATACTAGTTTTGCAACAGCATGTGATACCTAGGTGGAAAATAAAATAAAAAAAAAAGTCAAGTTAGGCATATTTTGAGGTCACACCTCTGCTTAGGACTAAAATCTTATAAGACTAATAAGTTTTACAAATTCAGTACAATACTCCAGTGATACTCAATTCCCATTAAAGTATAACGTTCACAGCCAGTGCATCTGCAATATAGAGGTTAGAATGAACCAAATGGATGTATCCAAACTAACTCACATACTTACTCACAACAGCACAGGGAAGGAGGAATCAAGAATTCACTAGATTAGCTTAATTCTTCATAGAAGCCTCACACCCAGTCCTCAAGTGGTTGCCACTTGCGAGGCCCAGACCAGACTGGGATGGGGGTCCTTGCAGAGTAGGCACCATGGGGCAGAGAGGTACCCCTTACTGTGCTGGAGAAGCAAGGACAAGCTGCAAAGGCAGGCACGCTCTGACAGCAAAGGGAAGGGGGAAAAAACCAAAACAGTTTCCCCAGCCTTCACTGTAGAGAAGAAAGTTATATGCTGGACTGGAATAGGAAGATGGAAAGCTCCTGTGACAGGGACTATTTCCACGCTGAGCTGCTTGCATTACGTGGACTCCTGGCAAGCACTAGCACAGTCTGTGCTAGCATGAGCCCCCTCTAGAATACTGGAATACAACATTTAAAGTCATGCTACAAAGGGTGCAAGCAAACAAATTCTCCTTTGCTTCTATGTATCTGCTTACTTCAGAAGAAAACAGGCTGGTCTCCTAGCACAAAAAGGCTCATACCCACCAAGACAACAGGCATCTGGACCTTCAACCTGCCTCTCGACCCCTTCATGCCTTTATCAGGCCCATGGAGTTCAAACAAGCAGGTCTCTTGCAAACAAGAGACCTCTTCCAGGGGGATTCAGAAGGCTCACAACCCCTGTCTCCTCACTCCTCTGTGTGCCAGGGAGCACCTGGGCAAGGCCAGTGGTCTGCACATTCTGCATTCAAACACCCTGATGTTCTGAAGGGCTCTACCTCCCACGCTCCAAGACACGCTATCACCATAGCACCTCTCTCTCTACTATACATATAGAAATCACAGCTCCTTCCATCCCAGCTGCAGGAAGAGCTCCTTGTTTTTCCCTAGAGAAGCTGTCAGTTCCAATTATCAGCTGAAAAGCCATAAGCCTTCTTGAATCCTGATACAGGTGAATCACAAGATCCGATGTACTGGTAACACAGACACACAGCAACCCCAACGCAACCCTGGAAGGAAAAACAAGCAATGGTTGCTCCTGCTACAAAACAGGCAGGCTCTGCACACCTAAGGGCAGCACATGCATTACTCTTCTAAATCTTTCCCACCGAAGAGGTTCAGTTTCACAACACAACTGACCTATTCCTGCCACATGACACTGCTCCGGTCCTGCTCGGGCAGTTGTCAGCACTGGACGGTTGGTTCATCGAGCCAAACTGGTGTAACCCCAACACATAACACAACTGGGGGGTTAATGGCTCTTACCCACCTCTGCTTTCTGATTTATCCATTTTGCTGGCCACTAAGAAATCCCAGTAATAAAAGAGTACTTTTCAATGTTCAAATAATCCTTTTTTTTTTTTTTTTTTTATTTTTGCTCTTTGTCTTATGTTTTTTTCCAAGGATTTTCTAACTAATCGCGGTGCTGATGGATGATAGCAGTCATGCTATGGCTGCTACTAACACACACAAGTCTTGCCAGAGGTAAAGTAGGCGTAATTTGCTTTTATTTAAAAGCTTTTGCTGGCGCTTGTGGTCAAGCAACATTCCCAGTCCCAGTGCCCTTCAAGGTCCTTACCTGATTTCATTTGAAGAAAAAGGGGCAGATCCTTGGTTTGGTGCCCTTCTGGTTATCACTGGACACTGCCACTGTTTGAGAAGCAACACTGCATCGCCCTGCCTGGTGGTTTTGGTATATATAGGAGGGGGACTAAAGCTTCAGATGACAAGACTTACGGAAACTTGTTGCCAGAGAAATTAAATATCATGAACTGTGCTAAAAAAACCCCAAAACTCTAATACTGATTAGAAGCTTTATTTCTTTGAAGGTAGAGTGTAATTATTTTGATGCACTGATAGTAAAATACACAGCAAACATCTGCTTACTAAATTCTTTTTTAATTTTTAAAAATTCTTTTTTTTTTTTTTTTTTTTCCCCTAGATGAACTGAAGCATTAGCTCATGCTGTGTAAGGTCTGGTACGTCATCTTCCTCGACTTCACCAGCGACGTGACCCTTGGAGAACAAAGGCTGCCCAGGCGGTGCTGCCCTTCCTCCCTCCCTCCTTCCCATCTCAGAAGCCTGTGACAAGAGGGATTGTGGCACAGAGGGACAGCACAGACAGCCTGCTGGTTTGCGAGGACAAAGTGCCAGTGCCAGCCTTGGGTGGGTTGTTATCTCGAGCCCCCAGCCTGGCAGCCCCAGACAGACTCCTCGGAGTTGCTTGTACAAGGAAGACATCTGCATTTCACGTTTGTAAAGCAAACACGCATCAGGAATGTGGTCTCTACAAGACTGGCTTCCTGCAAATGCAAACCACATGCTAATGAATCATTCTCTAAAAGCAATGAAATTATTTTTCAGTAGCAGTAAGGAAGAACTACTGTCCTGACAAAAAAAATACCCAACCAAACTACCAGACTTTAATAGGAAGTTCATCTGTAACATATGAAAATAAGTATTTTTCAGTTGGATTTGTAGAGCCTGAGGTGTGGCATCCTGACTGCATGAATTCCATGAAGTTACTTGTTCCCCGAGGAGGAACCAAGTACATTTGAGAATGAAGACGTATAGAAAGAGAAATACAAATACCAGCATACACACTTCTGAAATCCAACAAACCTCCCTAACAGAATCAAATGCTTTTGAATCAAATTATTTGTCAGGAAAAATCTGGAATTAATGCTCCAGAAAGATGCCAAATTAACAGATCTAGAAGAATAATAAAGCTTCTGTGACCATTCCTATTTTGCTCCAACTGCAAGCACCGACTGGAACAGCTGTAGTGCTAATTTTATTACTTTCATCACAAAAGCACCCAAGAATAAAACATTTCCAATTCATAAAGCCAGGTTCGTGGTGGGAGTCCACTTTCATAAAAGCCTGAAGCAGCAAATTTTTTGATACCACCTGATTGGAGTGCGTGCAATCTTGCAAACAACAAGTCCCAGAGTCAGCCAGCTGCAGCAACGCACCCACTGTCTGCTTGGCATGGAAGTACTAGTTCTTACACGTTAAAGATAGATAACATTCAAACTGTAAGAAAGAGGGATGGGAGAGGGGCAGAAAACTGATGAGGCTGAGGCCGTGCCTGTTGAGTGGAGTCTCACCACATGACAATCTACATCCTGCTGACCATCAGCAAGGCTGGTAATTCAGAAGGCAAAAGTGAATACCACCAGGGGTCAACTCTACTGGAGATGCTCAAGAAAACAAGCATAAGAAGAAACAAGTATGTAACAAAAGCTTGCTTCTATCGATTAGCAGTGCTCCCCAGCCTCCTCAATGACTGTACATTCACAATAAGTGAATGATTGTACCAAGTCAGCCAGTTCTTCCACAGTAACACCCCAGAATAATTGAAGTATTTCTTTGTAAGCAGGAGCCAAAACATGCTGTGCACAGAAAAGTACCGCTGCAATCAGAAGGTTGGTGCATATGTACATAATTCATTACCGTACGGTACCGGAGAAGCAAAGTACAGAAGCGGATACCGTTGGCTGAACTGCTCAGTGAGGAGACACCGGTGTCACTCCGTACACATCCATGGCAGCCTGGCACCTTAGAAAATAAGCCTCAGCTGCTGTTTAGCCTCACTGTCTGATACAGCATTTCCTGGGCAGTCAGAAGTTTCACACGATGAAAGATCTCAAACTCATAAAGCATTTCAGAAAGAGCTATGATTCAGTCCCCTGTCAGTCACCGGGTGCCACCAGAATCTCAGGTTATCAAAGAACAATAAAGCTTTGTCTCAGACATAAAGCAAATAAAGAAAGACGCCTTTGGTAAACTGCCAGCTTTGTTTACACTTTCTTATTCTGGTTTCAGAATACTAAGACCCCAAAAAGACAGTGAAATAGCACACTTGGTGTCTTGCTGGGACCAGGTCATTTCAGTAAAATGCTTCTACAAACTGCAGTGAGAAGGGAACGCATATTCTAAATGCCTCTACTTTAGCTGTTTGCGACTAATAAATTGTGCCACCAATGTTTCTTCATAACTTGACTTCTCCACAACTCTTCTAGCTGTGATTAAATTTATTAAAGTTTAGAAGACAAAAGCTGAAAACAGTAGTCACGCTAAAGAATGTCTGTCTTTCCCACGTTCTCATTTGCTCCTTTTCTCACCAGCTTAAAACTTTAAGATCAAAAATCAGCTCAGTCCACACCTGAACTTGGAAAATTTGACTGAAGACCATGCTTCTTTCTTCACAATGGAGTGGCAACGCTGGATAGAGAGGGTCTAATTCAATCTACAATTTCCAGCTTCACCTTAAAACAGGAATTCAGTCTCCTCAGAAACTTCTTCCAAACCTCCATCAGCTTAATTCTGACTTGCTGGTGACAGAAGGCTGCTGATTGCCAGAAATGGGCACCAAACGCCAGTGTTTATCACTGCACTGGAAAAGGGGCTCAGTGTCGATGCACACAGGGAGGGTGCCAAGAGGAAGCTGCTCTGCATAAGGGAAAACTCTACAGGAGTGGCAAAAAAGTGTGAAAAATTTACATATTGCTGGACAAAGTTAGATTCTTAAAGTAGAAAAAAGAAGTAATGCCATCACATTAAACCCACATCTATTCATTTTCTGGAAAAGAGCACAGTATTTATTTCCTTACTATTGCTATCTCCATTTAACTCCTGGGTTCTTTACTCTCCAAGATAAGCAAAATTCTTGCACTTGTGAAGTGCGAGAGAGAGTCTGGCACTCTCTAGGACAAGACAGTATCAAAAGAATGTGCAAAGGAGCTCTGCAGGTACCTCGCTGGGTTTGGAGAGCTCTACGAC